GGTGGTCACGGGTTCGATCCCGAGCCTGACGCCTGCTGTATATTTGGAGTTTGCATGTCTCTCTCTCCATGGTGGCTTGGATTTTTCTTCGGACCCTCCGGTTTTTCCCTCCACATTTAGAATCAACATCTGAGTATTTTTGCTGCTATAAATTTCCACATGATGATAAGCCGCTTTGTCGAGCGATCATTTGCAGCCGGTCGCTTCTGAAAAAGAGCTATTATAGCTCAGCGGGCCTTACCTGGTAAAATGTGTACACCGAGAGTGGCTGATGATCTTCACGTGACATTTTGACAGGGGTCCAAAAAGGCATCCACAAAGGCGAGACTTGCGTCGGATACATTTTTGAGCGCAATTCCTCCTACCCATCCCAGCCCAACCAGCATTGTCATCGTTAAAAAGATTATGTTACTTCCACGTTCATAACAGTGAGATTTCGATTGCAGCAGCTACAATGGGTCCTTAAAAAAAACTTAAAAAGGGACCATCTGCTAAGCTACCCAGCCATTGACGAGGTAATACCGAGATACTGAAATGCCTGCTGCAAGTGAATGGTTTCTGACTGGCATAATCACATTTCATTCATTTGGTCAAGTTAACGTGCTGCAGAGCGGATGATTGCAGACTCAGCCCAGACACTGGATTAGTGCTCGGGGCATGTGACCGCCCTCACCACGCTGCATTGTGCCTGCTCACTTGCTCAACTCACTGCCTGTGTGTGCCCTCACCACGCTGCATTGTGCCTGCTTACTTGCTCAACTCACTGCCTGTGTGTGCCCTCACCACGCTGCATTGTGCCTGCTCACTTGCTCACTCACAGCCTGTGTCTGCCCTCCACCACGCTGCATTGTGCCTGCTTACTTGCTCACTCACTGCCTGTGTCCGCCCTCACCACGCTGTATTGTGCCTGCTCACTTGCTCAACTCACTGCCTGCGTCCGCCCTCACCACGCTGCATTGTGCCTGCTTACTTGCTCAACTCACTGCCTGTGTGTGCCCTCACCACGCTGCATTGTGCCTGCTTACTTGCTCACTCATGTTTGTCTGTTGTAGTACGGCGTTAGACTCATGGCTTTAATCGAAGTTATCTTGTGGTTGTTGTTGTTGTTGTTTGACTTGCATCCCACTGGGATTTTTGCACACAGCGTTGGTATACGGTGCTTTTTCTGGAAGTTTTTGCTGTTTTTTTTTGCAGTTTTTTTCCTGGATTTGTCTGTTTGCGTATAGTCACTTTAAGATGTTTTCTTGTTCATGTTTTTGTTTTTTATTTGTTGCGGTTGCACCCGATTCAAGACTCGAATGGCTCACAGGGCTACACCAAATAAATGAAAACTGAAAACTGTGCTCGCTGCCCACCTAGCGCATGGTTGTGCCGTGCACTACAAAGGAATTGTGCGCGGACTTGTAATGGATTGCGTAACCATCGGTGCGTGGGCTTGGCGCGTTTCGTGAGCAATTGCAGAGAAAATTGCATCAAATGCCTGCGCTGCTTGCATCAGCACTGCCGTGGATTATCTAGATGCCGCTTTTATTTTCCAATTAACGCCCTATTAGATTGTCACCTACTGCTTAATGTAGCTCCGTAAATAGTTCCTAAACCCAGTCTCGTGGAATCTTTTTTTGTACACGTATATTGAATTTTGCAATCTCGATGGTTTAAAAGTACATAGCTCGAGTGACTTACAAATATGGGAAGGAAGAGCGTTCCAAACGACCACAGAAGCTCTCTAGACGAATGGATATTCAGACCATACAATCCGTAAATCATGAGCAAACACAAGATCCAGGTTCGATTTAACACGGTACATAAAATTCGTGATCTGATCCCATCTGTGAAGGATGTGATCCCTGACATGCTATACCCCGGCGTCTACAAACTAAACTGTGTCTGCGGCAGTAGTTAAATTGGGGAAACTATGTTCGTGAACATAAGGCAGATCTGAAACGCGGTAGGACCAATAACTCGGCAGTGGCTAATCATTGTTCTAATGCGGTGGGCTCGCACGAAATGTATTTCTCTACAACGAAGGTACTTTGAAAACCCACTGGCTATCAACAAAGATTCGTTCATGAAGCCATCCAGATATATAAAGACATAGACACAATTTCAACCAAGAAGATGGGTGCAAACTCAGCAATCACTGGAAGGACGTTATCAGCCAGTTTAAGTCATAACTGGCTGTAATGTTCCATTTTAAACCTGGCAGCCCTTTAATTGGTGGAAGCTCACCACCAGTGCTGTCGTGGCCCTCTACGAGTACCATCACCTCTAGCAGCAACCTCCACCGTCAGCAGTGTCAGTGTGTAAAGCGAGGTGCAATGATTATTTGGCAGCCATTTAATTGGTGGAAACCCACCACCAGCGCCGTCGTCGCCCTCCGAGTGCCATCACTTACATTCACATTAGCTGCCCCTCCCATGCTGCTGACACTTGGGTACGTCGGTCGTCTTAAAAGACTTCTTCTGACAAGCATGGAAGAGCAGGCCAATTGCCCTCCGAGAGTGGCTCTTCAGCGCTGCCTTTCACGATGGTCCTTCCGCCAGCAGTGTTGCGAGCAAGCAGTTGCAGGGCTGCACCTTTATTTTTTTTACACTCCTACTTATTACCGTACATCTAATGGCTACGCAGACCCCAATGTGATCAAAGATCCTTGAGTGGGCGGCTGGCGGCTGGCAGCTTCCTGCATAGTTTTGCCTGTAAAGTGGAATAGACCGTAGGGCCAGCACTTACAACCCGGAGAGGTCGTGGACGCCAGGGGCAGGATAATATTTTATGGCACGAGGCCGTACCGCTGCAGAGCGGGAAGGTTTAGGGGGCCACCGACAGGCCGTTTGTCATTGGTCGGAGGAGCAACGTTGCGTGTGTAGGGTGGCGGGGGGGGGGGGCGGCAATTGTGAACGACACAGGAAGCGCGCCGGTGGTTTTTCACGCCCGCGTGCCCCCCCCGGTTGGGATGGCGTAGCAATGCTGCGCCACGACGGCTTGTGCCTCTCTGTTTATTTTACCGCGTCAAAAATTGAGCAATACCACGCTGGCCGTTTCAGGAAATGAGAGAAGGAATGGGCAAGCAAAAAAAAGAGTAAGGCCTTGAAATGTGGTGTGGAACAAAAAAAAAGGTCCTGTTTCGTACGCGCGGTCTCTGGCTAAGAAGCGTTTTAGGCACCCGGGGCCACCGCCCCCGCCGTTCACTTCTTGCACCAGGTGGCAAATGACACTCATTGCACCTCGGCAGACACGTTCTAAACCGCTTCCGTTTGTCTCGTTTGAAGGGCAGCGCGTCATTAGCCGGGGCGGGGGGTGCGGCGGTTTCGCGACGACGTTGAACTCCGCTCGAAGTGCAGCGGCGCTCGCTTGAAGGTCCGCCAGAGGAGGGGGGGGGGGGGGGCGCGGTCCCCTCGCCCGCGGTGCCCTGGGGGCAGCGTCCGTCGCTCTCGCAGCGCTTAACCACCGACGGACACAGGCGCTCGACGCAAGTGTCAGCTCGTGTGTGTGTGTGTGCGTGTTGGGAGCGGTGGTGCGGCGGTCAGCGCTACGCTGTGCTTCGAAGCCGGCGACCCGAGTTCGATCCCTGCTCATGGTCACCAACGTCGGTGACGATTATCTGAAGCTGTCCCGGGCCCTCCCCTAGGTCAACTCGGCCTCATTCGAGTACCTGGTGCGATGTGGGAAAACATCGCCACGAGGGAGACTAAGGTGGCCGGGCGTGGTGCTGGCCACCCACCCCCGAGTGTGCACTTTCCCCAACGCTCTGTTAAGGCTATATGGGGGATATTTGTCTTTGTGGGGAGCGGTAGTGTAGCGGTTGGCACGCTGCGCTAGGAGCTCCGTCGCATCTCTAATAGGACATCTTTGCCTTTGTTTGGCCTCGTCGGCCAAATTGACGTTGTACTTGTCGTAGGGCACTTTGATTGGACTCTCTTCAATGTGCTGCTGCTGCTGATGTTGTTTACTGCACCGGGTCAGAGCCCCTTCATGGGTTCATTGCAGCTTTTGAAGTCGCAACAGATACTTGGCAGAAATGTTTGGGCCCATGCACGTTGGCACTCAATATTTCTGCGTGGTATTTTTGCCCAAGCGAGCAACCTTCTGCCGAGTGATCATTAAGGCTACATGGCACCCACCCAATAGAGACTTTGAGAGACCGTTTCCCCAACGATAATGGATAAACCCTAACCCTTTGTGAGATAGAGAGAGAGAGAGAAAATACACTGGGATGTTTCTGTCGTGACCTGGCTAAGTGAACGACATTGATGCAGCGAAGGCGTACAGCTGATGAGAGCGCGGTGGTCAGAGCTTGGTTTCTGCTCCCAAGCCACAAAGTTTCGGAGGGGATGAACTGCGCAGTAACTGTGAGACCTCGTGGATGGCTTGAGCGCGGCGAGGATCGGTCAGAACATCAGCCAGGACCACACGCGATTGCGGACTGGCAAAAGTTGAGAACTTCCGGCATTGGCGTGAATGTTACCTCCTGAGCTTGATTGAAAGTGAAAATAAAACGATTCTCTTTAGATGTTGACAACATTAGCGGTTGTTGTAAGGTGTACGTGACATTGGTGTAGCCATTGGTTAGGCCTTTGTGGAGTGATATTGCTATTTTGTTGTTATTAGTGAAAGACCTTTTGAATGAAAAAGAAAACTTGGCACTAAAGAGGTCAGAGCACACCTCGGAGGCACAAGTAATTGGTGCAAAGACCGCGATATTTGAAGGCGAGAAGCTATCGGTAATTGCTGCTGTGGGCAGTGTTGAAATCCGAGGGTTGAAACTGTGTTTTGATGTTTGCGGTTCGACATTGAGACCATAATTAAAACGTTGCGTGCACGCGTTACATCCCGCTGTTTGAAACCACGGATTATATTTTTGTTGTAAATGGCCATTTATATGCCGCATATGACGTGCACGTTTGTTACAGATATCGATTGATATTCATCAAAAGCTTGCTTTTTTCTCTGGATGATATTATTTTGTTTTAACTTTGTGCCTTTATTTTCTCTCTTTGCAGCTAACTCTACTCTGCTTGGCGGTGGAGGAGGTAATGTTTTGACTTATTTTAATGCACGCGCAAATGTTTACACACACACACACACTGCACTAGAATGACACACACACAAGACACATGGGAAAAAATATCCAAGATCAACATCAATACAAATAAATTTGAACGTTTTTATCTTTAAAGTGACAATGGTCATCTTGTGCATGTGTTGTATGTGTGTGTGCATTGACGTGTGTATGTGTGCGTGGGGAGCGGTGGTGCTGCCGTGGTTAGCGCTACAGCTGCGCTACTAAACCAGCAACCCAAGTTCAATTCCCGCTCACGGCCAACACCAGTGTGACGATTATCCAAACTGGTCCTGGGCCTCCCATAGGCCTAAAAGAAGTACTCGGTGCGGCGTGTAAACATTCCTTCTGGGGAGACAAAGGCGGCCGGTCGTAGTGCTGGCCACTCACCCCCTAGTGTACTTTTCCTTCATAGGTACTCGGCAGCAGCACTTACCCGAACTCTCCGTTAAGGCCATATAGGGGGCCGGGGGGGATCTTTGTCTTTGTGTGAAAAAGTTCCTACAACGGTTTAATTATTGCAATGAACTGCACTGCAATCTCGGGTCACCTGGGTTTGATTCCCGACACTGCGTACCTACGGTGAGGGGAAAAAAGTATTTGATCCCCTGCTGATTTTGTACGTTTGCCCACTGACAAAGAAATGATCAGAATATAATTTCAATGGTAGCTTTATTTGAACAGTGAGAGACGGAATAACAACAAACAAATCCAGAAAAACGCATGTCAAAAATGTTATAAATTTATTTGCATTTTAATCAGGGAAATAAGTATTTGACCCACTCTCAATCAGAACGATTTCTGGCTCCCAGGTGTTTTTTATACAGGTAATGAGCTGAGATTAGGAGCACACTCTTAAAGGGAGTGCTCCTAATCTCAGCCTGTTACCTGTATAAAAGACCTGTCCACAGAAGCAATCAATCAGATTCCAAACTCGCCACCATAGCCAAGACCAAAGAGCTCTCCAAGGATGTCAGGGACAAGATTGTAGATTGACACAAGGCTGGAATGGGCTACAAGACCATTGCCAAGCAGCTTGGTGAGAAGGTGACCATTATTGTTTTATATATATATATATTTTATTTTATTGTTTCCCTTCGACGTGACTTTACCGAAAGAGCTAAGAATTAGGTGACAACAGTGGTGCGATTATTCGCAAATGGAAGAAACACAAAATAACTGTCAATCTCCCTCGGCCTGGGGCTCCATGCAAGATCTCACCTCGTGGAGTTGCAATGATCATGAGAACGGTGAGGAATCAGCTCAGAACTACACGGGAGGATCTTGTCAATGATCTCAAGGCAGCTGGGACCATAGTCACCAAGAAAACAATTGGTAACACACTACGCCATGAAGGACTGAAATCCTGCAGCACCCGCAAGGTCCCCCTGCTCAAGAAAGCACATATACATGCCCATCTGAAGTTTGGCAATGAACATCTGAATGATTCAGAGGACAACTGGGTGCAAGTGGTGTGGTCAGATGAGACCAAAATGGAGCTCTTTGGCATCAACTCAACTCGCCGTGTTTGGAGGAGGAGGAATGCTGCCTATGACCCCAAGAACACCATCTCTACCGTCAAACATGGAGGTGCAAAAATTATGCTTTGGGGGTGTTTTTCTGCTAAGGGGACAGGACAACTTCACCGCATCAAAGGGATGATGGACGGGGCCATGTACTGTCAAATCTTGGGTGAGAACCTCCTTCCCTCAGCCAGGGCATTGAAAATGGGTCGTGGATGGGTATTCCAGCATGACAATGACCCAAAACACACGGCCAAGGCAACAAAGGAGTGGCTCAAGAAGAAGCACATTAAGGTCCTGGAGTGGCCTAGCCAGTCTCCAGACCTTAATCCCATAGAAAATCTGTGGAGGGAGCTGAAGGGTCGAGTTTCCAAACGTCAGCCTCGAAACCTTAATGACTTGGAGAAGATCTGCAAAGAGGAGTGGGACACAATCCCTCCTGAGATGTGTGCAAACCTGGTGGCCAACTACAAGAAACATCTGACCTCTGGGATTGCCAACAAGGGTTTTGCCACCAAGTACTAAGTCTTGTTTTGCAGAGGGGTCAAATACTTATTTCCCTCATTAAAATGCAAATCAACTTATGACATTTTTGACATGCGTTTTTCTGGATTTTTTGTTGTTATTCTGTCTCTCACTGTTCAAATAAACCTACCATTAAAATTATAGACTGGTAATTTATTTGTCAGTGGGCAAAAGTACAAAATCAACAGGGGATCAATTACTTTTTTACCTCACTGTACGTCAACTCGTCCCTGGGCTCGACGCAGCCAGAAATACGAGCAGCTGCGCTTGTAACCGGCGCAGCGACGCTATCTGCACAGGCAGACAAACGGTCGCTGAGAATTCATGGCGATGGTAAAGCAATCAAAGCTTGAGCTATATTCGAAGATGTGCTCATTATCAGCACGTGTGTCTGCCTACCCGGGTTAAAGCAGGAGGACCCCTTCTGTTATTGTACTTGTAAAATCATTTCAAACTTGAACGGAATTAAATCGCCCTTCTGAGAGTTGACGCACGTTCTGACGATGTTGCGTTCGAGCCCAACTCGTTAATTCCTTGCACCAGGAGCAGGCGACTCGGCACGATCCCCGAGATGGAAATTCAGCAGCAGCAGCACCTTCTTAGTTGCGTCGCCTCCCGCCTCCGAAATCTGAGCGCAGGGCGACGATGTCGTGCTGTCGATCGTGGTTTCCAAGCCGCTGGTTCTCACGGTCGACACTTGCGAACCGTTCTAATTCAACGTGGGTGGGTGTGGCGGTGCACACACCTGTAATACAGTAAACTTTGGCGAAGCCATCCCAAGTTGCCGGGATTGCAATCTGCAGGGCGCAGTGAAGTGCCTGCAGTGATTTTTACAGCAAGCTGGTTCGTAACATATTGATTCATACTCTTTGTTTTTTTCGGTAAAGTCACGTATGTAAAATAAAATAAATGAAAACAACTAAATTTTGATTTAAAGCTTTCGTGACTGCAGGGATTCATATTCTTGGTTCTTTCGGTAAAGTTACATAGAAGGGAAACAATTAAATAATAAAACAATGAAATTCTCACGACGTTTTGACTGCAACACAAGCAATCATCATCAGGTGTGAAAACCACAACAAGGAAATTTGAAAAATAGTGGCGGTTTTTTAACGTTAGCACCACGGAGAGCGATTTGACAGTTTGTTCAGATGGACGAGTCCATCTATGTTCGGAAAAGAGGAGGGGGGAGACGAAAAATAATGGATGCGGTCTGAAAGCCACCTTAAGCGTGATCAATCAATTAAATGGGTTATCAGATCCTTCCAATGATTGCTAAGCCAGAATCCATCTTCTCGGTTGAAATTCTCTGTGTTTGTATATGTGGATAGCCTCATGAACGAATCTCTCATGGTAGCCAGATGGCAGTCTGGTTCATCAAGGACTAAACACTGAGGTACCCCCCCTGGTGAGATACTGCTTAACCAATACATACTTCACTTGGAATGGAACTTTCTACAAACAAACTGAGGGCACCCCAATGGGCTCCCCCCTATCTTCGGTTGTAGCCAATATTTTCATGGAGAAATTTGAGGCTGATGCCATCCAGACTGCCACTCTGCGCCCAACCTTATGGAAGAGGTACGTGGATGACACTTTTGTAATCTGGCCACATGGTCGGCCTGCTCTAGACCAATTCCTCGACCACATCAATTCCATACACCCAGCCATCAGATTTACCATGGAAGTCGAAAAAGATGGCAAGCTACCTTTTTTGGATGTCATAATAAAAAGAGACCTGATGGTTCAATGAGCCACTCTGTCTACAGGAAAGCTACCCATACGGATGCTTACCTAAAACCGGATTCCCACCACCATCCATCACAGAAGAACTCTCTCATCAAGACTCTGTATCATAGAGCCCAATGCATATCCGACCAGGAACACATAGGCAGTGAACTCAAGCACGTACACCAAGCTCTTAAGGCTAATGGTTATTCCGACTACACAATCCGCAAATCTATCACTCCAACCATGAAGAAGGACCCTCTTGAGGATCCTTTCAAAACCATCACTTTACCCTACATTGTGGGGATCACAAAAAAAGATCTCCAAAATCTTGAATAAACGCAAAATCCAGGTCCGATTCAACACATTACATAAAATCCGTGATCTGGTTCCATCTGTAAAAGATGTGATTTTGGACATACAGTACCCTGGCATCTACAAACTAAGTTGCCTCTGTGGTAGTAGTTACATTGGAGAAATTAAACGACATGTCTCGGACCGCATTCGTGAACACAAAGCAGACCCGAAACACGGTAGGACCAACACCTCGGCCATGGCAGATCACTGTTATAATTCAGTAGGTTCACATGACATTGACTTCTCCAAGACAGAGTTTCTTTGCAAGCCATCTGGCTACCATGAGAGATTCGTTCATGAGGCTATCCACATATACAAACACAGAGACAATTTAAACCGAGAAGATGGATTCTGGCTTAGCAATCGTTGGAAAGATTTGATAAACCATTTCGGGTCTAAATTGATTGATCACGCTTAAGGTGGCTTTCAGACCGCATCCATTATTTTTCGTCTCCCCCCTCCTCTTTTCCGAACATAGATGGACTCGTCCATCTGAACAAACTGTCAAATCGCTCTCTGTGGTGCTAACGTTAAAAAACCGCCACTTTCACATTTTCTTGTTGTGGTTTTCACACCTGATGATGATTGCTTGTGTTGCAGTCGAAACGTCGTGAGGATTTTATTGTTTTATATTTTTATTATTTTATTGTTTCCCTTCTACGTGACTTTTCCGAAAGAACCAAGAATATGAAAACAACTCAATTAAATCACGACGTTTCGGAGGCAACACAAGCTTCCGTCTTCAGGTGGAACAGACACAGCAAAATTAGCTGTATCAAGTGAACAGCTGTGGGACACACGAGATTATATACAGGTTAAGGGGGGGGAGGAGCCAGGA